AGTGCAGTTTCGGGCGTTCTGCTGATCCGGAGTGTAGTGAAATAACAATTACACTCCATACTTATTAAGAGGGGGACATTGCGGTATTGATTTTTTTTCTTTTTTTAAGCAGTATTTTGGTCCATAACCCTGATAATAGGAAGTTTAAGCAAATCGCTACAGCGACTTCTACTACGGCGGTCGTGGATGCGGTGTCCTGGGGAGAATACGTCTCGTAGCTCGCCAAATTTCAAGTTCTTGCTCACTTGCTTTCGCTATGACTTATCAACAACAGAATTCAATGGTGGTCAAGTAAGAAAAAGGCCAATTTCAAAATTTCGTTTGCCAAGAAGAATATTGATAGTACACATTATCAGAGGGCGATTTGTACTCAAAACAGAAAACTACAGATGAAGATCGGAGCAAGCTGCTAGTAATGTTTCTTCTTGTGTACCGCATTAAACAACAAATCAACAAATTTAGCGTTTTAGATATTCTATTCTATTCTTGTTTAAACAACCTTCAGTGATATTTCGCTTTATTGCTAACGGTCGTGCTTACGGTTTTTTTCTAGCCTTTGTTTGTACTGGCGGATTTTCTGCGGCCATGGCGCGGCAAAACTCATGGCACACTCGCTTGAGGATCGACATTTTAAACTGAGAAAACGTAGGTAAAACATATTCTCTGGAAAACCAGAAGCCTCGAATGCTTTCTTGATAAAGTGAAAAACAATCTATGATAGCTTTTAAAACCAGTGATCGTAAAAAATAGGAGAAGAGTCGACTTTTATACTCACGTAGTAGCGAATACGCCAGAAGACAGCTCTTCACGTCGTAGGATTTGGCGCTACAGCGAAAGGTCATTTCCAAGCATGCGCACTGCGTTATTTTGGGTCATTTTTACTTCCGACCGCCGTAGTAGAGGTCGCCGTGGCGATTTGCTTAAACTCCGCAATATAAACTGACGGCAGACCTCTGGTAAAATTTATCTTCATAACATAAAGGGTGGTCCACAGGGGTCGTCCTTGAACCAGGGGTCCATGTTTTGTATCGTACGCCAATCTGATTTACGTATTGGTGTTCTTTATTCCTCACAGCAGCTCATAAGTTTTCCTATTGCAGCTTCACCGTACGACAACAGCTCAACTTACTGCACGCCATTGTTTTGGTTTTCAAAGCCGGCGCTTTTGGCTACTAGTGGGCTATAACATATAGCCTAGTAGTAGCTCAACCAATCAGAACGCAGCATTGATAATAGACCACTAGTTGGATTTTACTAATGATGGATACACCGGTTCCGACTAACTAAACCGGAATGAGTCAAAAGTGATCACTCAAACGTTTAAAGCCGGTCAGGCTTATAAATAACTCAGAAAAAAACAAAGGAGGGATGGGCAAACTTGTGGAAGCAAATAAAAACGGATTATAATTGTAGTTTTTGAAAACTTGGTTAACTTAACAGTTTTGTTGTTGGTAAATTTTCATATCATGATGCTTGGAAATCATAGTTGTTTGACAGAAAGCTGTTGTTTTGTCATGATAATTTAAAGCTAATTCCTTCTCTGTCGTTAGGTTCCATAGCGAATAAGCCGGACGCGCAATTAATGACTAACAAAATGAACCCTAAACAGCGGGGATACAGCCCCTTTAACGATGGAAGACAAATCTGTTTGCAGCATAGATATAGTGTATTCAGGAGCAACGACAAGATTTGAGACGCTTGCGGAAAGTTTCCTAATTAAATTTATTTATTTATTTAATTTATTACAGTTCAATGGCCTGTCATGCAAACAAACAAGAAACAAAACATACATATTATTATTATTATTATTATTATTATTATTATTATTATGATTGTTATTATTATTATTATTCTGCTTATCAAAACAATGTTCCCCGGCAAGCTGAAAATGCTAATTTTGCAAACTCTGTGAATTTGAATTTGCATACATCGGTGATTGACGCGGATATGGTTCATCAAGCAAGTAAAGAAGTTAATCAAAGTACTTCTCCCCAGAGATGTCAAGATACAACACAGAGACCGCAAAGCTCAATTCAACCAAACCTACCTGATTACGAAGTTCTTCCCACTGAAATCAAGAACAAAATATGGGGCAATATCAGTCACGAGAGCTTCTTGATACTATCAATGGTGTTTACGATGAAATTGTCCATTTCAGGAGAAATATTTTCAATGTACCACCGGGAAGAGCGGAAAAGCCTTTATAGAAGAACTAGCATTCTGGATAAAGCAGTTTAATTCGAATTCGGATCTAAACTCTGTGGCTTTGAAAGCTTTTATGGTGCTCCCAACCCTAATCCTACAAAAGCTGTCCGCTACTTCTAAAGGCAAGGAGCATAGTTCAGCGATAGAACGCAGATTAAACCTGTGGAGACAAGGAGATTTAGATCTCTTGTTAAAAGAGGTGAGATTCATCCAAGGGAAGTCTGTGAATTCGAAGAAGGCTAGGACAGTTGAGGACATATCCAAAGTTCTTGGGAAACTAGTTTTCCAAGGAAAGTTATCTGCAGCTATTTTTAGCTTTTGGATAGCGAGAGCTCAACAGGCTTACTCAACCTTACACCAGAAGTCCTAGAAAGGCTGAAGGGGAAGCACCCGGAAGCGGCAGATATCGCGGATGGGAGTTTATTACACGGGCCCATTGATTACAATCCTCCTGGCGTTTTTGACTTGATCGACGAGAAAATGATCTTTGATGCAGTAACCAAAACAAAGGGTTCAGCCGGGCCGTCGGGGGTGGATGCCGAGCTATATCGAAGAATCCTGCATGTTTTTTATTGAAATGATTTTTTTTTTCAAATGATCAGGAGCCTATGAAATGAAATGACTTGTAAATAGTGCTTTGACTGAATATATGTATATATATTTTTAATTTTAAAACAAATAATAATCGAAATTAATTGTTTTTTTCAATTGAAATGAATCTTTTTAAATGAGGTGTTTTTAATCGAATGAAGTGTAAATAGTGTTTTGAGTGAATAGTTTTTAAAAGGAAATTAATGGTAGACAGGTTTTAATAGTTAGCGTCGTTATCAATAAAGGTTATTTATTATTATTATTATTATTATTATTATTATTATTATTATTATTATTATTATTATTGTCAGATCTGAATATCTACAAAAATATTCCAGAGATTATCAAGAAGACATGAAGTCCGCTACTCCCTTCTTAAAGCTACAAATACTTTGAGCATAACGAGTTGACAATGGTAACGCATTCCAGATAGCAACAATCCAATTAAAAAATCTAAAATGTCAGTCTTGTTAAGTACAAAATCATCATCACCCATCAGAGAACACCTATCAGAATCTGAGTAGAGTTGAACAAAAGGAGACGTAGCTATATTAATATATTTCAAATGAAAGCGGAACATTTCAGCTTTAAGATGAAAGTTATGGCGGGTTTAAAGCTTGCAGTCGCAGAAGACGCCGTTCTGTTCTGGTGAGTAAACTTTTCATGACTAATATTTCAATGAATATTTACGCTATTTACTGCGTAGTAAAAATAGTGCCGCTCACAAAAGGGTAGGTAATATGTGATACTTTTCAAAGAAACTGTTTTATATTTAAACTGAAGATACTTAAAGAAGTCAGGTTCTCAGAAAGTTTATTAATCCTTCTTGAAATTCGACTTGTTTGGAATAACAAAGGCCAGAATCATTAATTAAGTATTGATGCCAGGTGCCCAGTATCCGGCCAGTTTTTTCCTTGCTGTACAGAATCGATGAATTAGCTGTGTGCATTATCCGGATTATATATCTATAACTGTAATTAAAGCTAAAACATATGATATAGTCGTAAAATGCTGCCTGGGAGCCACATTTTAAATACGATGCAGCCCGCGTTTGTATTGTAGATGATTGTTAAACTAGTCTGCAAGCGTCACTTCCATGCTAACCAAATTGGATCTATGCACCCTCGAAGGAAGGAGAAAAAGATCTCGTTTGAGCTTCATGTCTTGAAAATATTTCGTGGTTTAGTTGATATTAGTGAGCTTACGCAACAGGACGGGAGAGGAAAGACGACGGTAACCCCTGTGTGACAAGCGTGACAATAATTTTGTTTGAAAAAACTTTTCGCCGAACTTCACCCTCCTTTAAACAGATCTTTTTGTAAAAGACCAGAAAACATTAATGTAAGTGAAGATCACGACAAAACACGCAAGTCATAGCACTGTCACGTTTGTCACACACAAGCGTTTTGCCGTCCTCTTCTTTTTGCCGTCCTGTTGCGTAAACTCACTATTAAGAAAAAAATTTAGCAATTAGACTCGTACTAGGAGCAGCCATAGACTTAAGCTTCTTGAACCCCACTGTAAGAAAAGCTAAGAAAGATGTGTTCAATTGTTCCTTTTTCCTAAGAACTGCAAGAGACTGGAATCAGCTCCTCCACAATATGCCTCGTATTTCGTCTCTTGAATACTTGAAGAATTTAATTTAGTTAATTTTGTTTTTATAGTACTATTTATAGTTACATGTTGGTAATTTTTACTTTTATATTTTGTAAGTGGCTGGTGTGTTGCAGTAACTGGCTTTTACCAACCTAATCGAGATGATGATGATGATGATGATGATGATGAACAAGGCAGAAAGGCCCGAGGCTAGGAGAAGAACGTCTGGCTAATTTTCACCGTCCCGTCAACCTTTGCTCTTATAAATTTACATAACAAAGGAGACTCTTCTGCACGTGACTGCACTGCATAATGTAGTCACGGAGCTGAGAATTGAGACATTTAATAGGACGAGAATGAGGATCTTAATTAACATTTAAAGCCACGATAATGAAAATGTATTCAAATATTTTTCCCGGTATGAAATGATTTTGAAATCTAAGCCAAAAACTAAACTGCAGAATCAGGAAGTACTCTAATCGCTAATCATAGATAGTCTAAAATGATGAAACCTTCTGCCGACAACAGCGTAAGAAAAGGGCCTTGTAGAGAAACTTAACAATTACATGTTAATTTTAGATGGCAGTACTTTTCAGAAATACGTTTTTCTAGTTTCCCACTGGCTTTATTTTCATTTCTGCTCGCTTAACAGAGTAATGGTAACCCCTCCATGTGCTCCAGTTTACACCATTAGCATAAGAAGAGTGATTGCCATAAAGGTAGAGGCCGTTCAAATTGGAAACATGACATGTTACGTACCACCAAGCTCCCTTAAATTCCTGGGCACAGTTACCCTTATAAGAATCGCTGTCTCGGTCTTTGGTCGAGAACGCCATACCACGATGAAGGCCGAGGGAGTCACCAGCAGTTCCTACAAAGTTTAGGTAAAAAACAATTTTTTTCAGAAATGGTTCTCCTAACGTCTTTTACACAGTAGGTTTAGTGTTCAGTCCTGTTTTTAATACTTAAATTAGCCAAAGCTGAAAGCGAAGCTCTCTTTGGAACTTTCAAAAATGTTCTTTTGAAGTAACGTTTTCTGAACCTGCGATCACTTTAATGCCATAATTGGTCAGCGGATAACTTAAAAAAACATGTCACCTCAATTAGTTGTACACCTGAACCAGCGATACACTCACGTAACACTGGTCAACGGATACCCTACTTTGACAGTTTTCAATTGATCATAACATGAATGTCTAATACCAAGTTGAAACACAATTTGTATATGCCTTGGTAAGCAAGACATTTCACATCCGCTAACATGAGGGAGGCAGACGTACGTACGGACGATTTTGTCGGAACCCAAATTTCTTGGATGCATACATGAACCAAATTCTCTTAACCACCACGAGAGCTCCGCTGTAAGTGCTATTTACCAATTTTAAGTGTAGACAAAGTATGGGCAAGCGTGTGAACATTCGTGAGGTACTGGCTAATTCGCCTATAACCTCCACTTAGCTTACAGCGATGATTTAATTCCAAGTGATGAGATACAAACTTGAAACCATAACAAATCCATAAAGAAGCGGTTCTAAAATGAAGGCAAAATTGCGATAACTAAATTACACTGAAACAAATAAAATGAAATAAATGTGACGCCAACAAATACGAAACAGAGTAAATACCTCAAACAGTAGAAGATCACCATAAAGACATAAAGATTAACCAGCTTGGAGACTGAAATTTTGTCAATAACCCGTACATGAAAATTCCCGGTCCTAAAAGCACATGGGGAGAGCGACCGCCCCGAAAGAAGTGTGGGAAAATCAGAAAATAGGTCCGCAACCGTACAAAACTAGATTCTACATAGCCCTTCCCCCCGGGTTAGTGGTAGTGTATGATTGCTTGTTGATTTATGGGTCTTGATTAACCGCGAACATACTTAATCCTTCTCACAGGGATAATTCAGAGAAGCGTCTGGGCACGAGTTTGTTACCCTGTACTTTAGAAATAGACCATCTTAGCTTGTATGTTTTGTTTTTCCATTTCAGGGGATACCCAGAGAACTGTTTCTTGCAGATGTGATCCCAAGTACGTGCATCCAACCCGGCCGGCATATTTGTGTATAATTTACGAAAAGTCAAAAGGCAAATTTCTTGGTGAACATCACGTAGTCTGAACTGAGAAAACAAACAAAAAAAACACGAGCTAAAAAGGTCTATTATTTGGAAGTCTTACATTGCTATTACTAAACAGGCTAAATTCCGATACCAACTCCTAAAATTTTCGCGTGTGCCCAGGGAAAGGTAAAATGAAAAATGGGGAACAACACCTTACTTGAACCCACGCCCTATCTCTGAACCCTATCCAATTCTCTGTTTTAGTCCCTTTTTGAGTGACATCCCAATAGCAGGGCCTAGCAACTAGTGGAAGGCTAACTGTTCAATTCTTTACTGAAATATGTTTTGTTGTTGTTTTTTTTAAGTTGTTTTTGTTTATTACCAACCAAGTCCTTGATAACAAAGTTCTAAGACTCAGTCTTGGTTTAGCCTATTAGTAACGGCAAAATCGTCTTAGAAAGGGATTTTGGTGCCCTGGGCGCCAGAGCAATTTTTGTTTTTATTTTTGGGGGCGAATTGCTTTTCTCCGCTGGTGAGCGAGAAGATCTCTGGCATTCAGGGTAGCTGTTTGGCTACAAGATACTCGATCGAATTAAGTCTGCTTGGTTCTTTTGTCAGGCGGTGAATCTTCAAGTCATAGCCAACACTAACAAGTCACGTGCGTCAGAAACTAATCGAGCTATTTATTATCAGTTGAGTTGAACATTGACTTCTTACCAGCGTATTTTCCAAGGCGTCCCAGCGTATAATTTTGTTGTTCACACCAAACACGTCGTAACAGGCGTAAGCAGTTTACTCGTCGAAGTCTTTAGACCTTTAATACTATAGATATCCTTTTTTTTGTATACTTATCTCTTATATATCGGTGATACTGCTCAAAGTGAATGAAGACTGATGCCTTACCGGTGTATGCTCCAAGATGACTCATTCTGTAGTTGTCTCCTTCTTCAGCAACACCAAACAAGTCGTACTGAGCGTAGGTAGTTTGGCTATCGAAGTCTTCAAGATCCACTCGAAGCCTGCTTGGTTCTTTCGTTAGGCGATGAATCTTGTCAGATTTCCAAAAAAAAAATCAACCGAGCCGTCCAGTCTCTTTTGGAACACTGTCCAGCCCCCACCGTCTGTTGTTTGGTCACAATACACTTCAAAGGCTCCAGCCTTGTCAGGGTCGATGGTGTAAACGCCGCTGTTTCGAAAACCAGCTTCGTACAGCTCAGCGCAGTTTCTGTATACTGGAAAACAATGAGTTCCGAAGCGTTTTAACTGCTACCATCACCATATCCATGTTCTTTCTTAGTCTCTTACCACGTATTGGCTTATATCGAAACACAGGGAAATGTAGGATATATGCGACGTGAGAGAGAAAGCATGGGGTTTAAACTTAGAAAATGTAGAAGCTCAAACTAGTACACTTGCAAAGAAAAACAATTGTTGTTAGGTGTTTGGTGATGAATCAAAATTTAATGAATTCAGATCATTGATACCTTGTTGAGGCTTTTTCGGCCCATGATTTTTCAGGGACCCCGCCGAAGTTTCTTCTTAGCTGTTTCTTATTTTAATTAACAATTAATGAATGAAGCTGAGTATCTTATGAAGAATTATGGAGGGTGTTACACGGCCTCGACGAATAACACCCTCCGAGATCTCCGTAATTCGTCATATGATACGAAAGCCGAATTCAATAATTGTTTTATTATTCATTCAAAATAATTCCTAGTTTAAAAACATAGCTAAAACATGCTTACCTCCATCGATGTTAAGTTCATCTTCGATAGTGCACGTTTAGGGTTGTTCAGCTACGCAAATGTTCTCCAAATAGCAGATGTCGCCCTTCGAGTTATCTTCTTGCTGTTCTTGCCATGTTTTTAGCTATTATCGCGCCTAGTTCTTTCTCTCGAAAAGAGTTAAATGTTCACCATTTTTGTTTTCACAACCAGAACAACTCTACCTCTCCCCAGTTCTTCGCGGCTAGCGGTGCGTTAACATGCAACGAAGTTGCACTTTTGACGTCATCGGTTCATTAATCGCAAAATTCTTCCAAATTTGGTCATCGATAGCTAGTTATGGGGAATAATATGCGTGTGCTTTTCGCCAATCAGAATGGGGGAAATATTTTGAATGAACAATAACACTCGCTAATCGTTGTTGGCCATCTTAATTACAAACAATTTGCGGGAACCTCCTCTCTAATAGGTTTTGCTCTCCAGTTGGCAAAACTCACTATTTGCCAAATTGAAAAAAAATGAAGTGTTAGTAATTTTGTCAATTATGATGGTGGTGCTGATGATGATGAAAGGAGGAGGAGGAGGACGACTGTGGTCTCTCAAATCACAAGCTACCTTAGAGAACTTAGAGCCTTTTATGGTCACACTCGTATCTGATGATTCATTGACCCTCTGGATTTAAGGTATGTCGACAAATACCATTACCATTACCATTCATTTGTCACTATTTGTGTTGCTTCTAAATGTTTAATTGTACCCGTTCTTTACACTTTTTTGTTTTTAACCATGGCCTTGAATGTAAAATAATACATGTCAATTTATTCCCTCTATGGTTATCTTTATGAAGTAGGGGAAATTCATAAAATTGAGAATAATATGAAGGGAAATACAATTGAGAAACAAAACTGAGTCAGCCCTCTTACTGGCAGAGACAGAAAAATAGCTAGAGAGAGACTCTGGGAACGAGATCAGTATACCATTTATTACCTTCAAAGGTTATGGTGACAAAAATTCTGGGAAACAAAACGTACATGAAGAAGAATTCAAATGTTATATTTCAATGGTACCTCTTGTTTTTATCCTTATTAACCGCATCGTCAAGTATCATACCTCAACGGCATTGTGAAGGTAACCTTTCTTTTCTTCTAAAACAGATTGTGCAGGGCTTTCATCAGTGAAATTTTTTAACTCGCACGTTCGTGTTCCCTTGACTTCAGGACCCACGTTTATTGACACGCAGTTTGGCTCCAGAAAGCACTTCACTCGGCAGCTCCCCTCGTCTTTGACCTTCTCAGTTCTTATAGAGTGACCAGAAAGAACTTTGTCGTATATCGGTTCCTTGAAAATGATGACACGGTTATATTCTGTCAATAAAAACACACAGAATAATTAGTGAGAAAAGGACTCAGTGAGTATATATATATTGCGTCCCACGTCTGTCCTCTTTTATTCAGTATCAAGTGAAGTGTTTCTTGGTTTTCACACGACGTCACCAAAATTCCAACTAAGGAATTATTGATTCTCCAGTGTCTCACTTGTCACTTCCATGACTTATACAAGTTTTATGTTCGAAAGGGTCCTTCGTCGATTTGTTTTGATATATAGGACGTTGAATTCCCCAAGCTTTTGCGTGACGCAGCATTTAGATGGCGGCCTTAAAAGCTCCTTGTAGGTGAAAAAGGTTACCGATTTTTTGAGATTTTGCTAACTAAACATTAATTGCCTCAGAATTCCTCAAGCGGCAAATTAACGCTTTTGTAGAGAAACTCAAGGACAGAAGTTTCTTTTGGTTTCCCGGGCGCCATATCAAAGCTGGGGACAACAATCAACATAGAGTCTCTATACAAAGGTATTTTAAATCTGAATAAAAATTATTTCCGAGTATCTCGGATTGAAATAGCGCATAGACCTCCAACAATCCTCGCCGAGGTTCTTTGCATGATTTATGTTCTTTCATTTCTCACATTCTGGACTTACTGTAATGAGTGGTTTCAAGTCTTATTTTTGATGGTGTGACAGTGAAATCAGGGAATTATCTGACGAATTCCTCCTTTCGATAGCTTCCTGCGCAGTTGAGATTTCACCAATTAGCGAAATGAAAACGCTTAACTGGCACCCTTACTTGCGGTTATACTTTGTCAACACACTGCTCTGTGCTCATAGTGAATTCCCAGTGTATGATAATGTAATTTTTGTTAAAATCCTTAAGCCCTCTTTCTAGGTCACTTGACATGATAAAAGAAAGTAACATTAAGAACACAAACTTAAAGCAAGGGGCACACATACACCAACCCACGGCCTGGCCAGTACCTCACGCATGCGCACAGCCATGTCACCCAACTCCTTAAGTGAATCATGTATCAATCAATTTCGTTATGATAATTCCTTCCCTCCTCTCCAAAGGTCCCTTTTTATATCCTAAGGGGCATGGGAAGAGGAAAATTCCACCGCGTGCTTACTTTTTTTTCTAGCTAATTTATTGGAAGGCCAGCAGGAGCCTTTGTGGAGGAGAGAGAATAATTCCTACGTTCCGTTCTCATGCTCTCAAGAAGGTAAGGATAGTAATCTATACATCAACTTTCATATTCATGCTCAGTTGTGTTAAGATATGGGAAAATGATTGATCAGACGACTAAGCCAAGCTGTGACAGTTTAGCTTCATTGTATTAATCTAGTCAACATTCATATTTATGCTCAGTTGTGTTGAAGTATGGGAAAATGATTTATCAGCGCCCCACAGCATTTACTGCTCCATTATTTGTCTAATAACGCATTCTAAACTACTACTGACACTACAATAAACCACTCCTAATTCTCAATTCTCAAAACAAAAAACCTCTCATAACTTATTAAACTATGTTTAGACCTGTTTCCGTTAACCCATGGAGCGCACTCACACGCTAAATGCCTTAATACTTGCTAGTATTCATTCAAAATATTTTTCCGGTTCTGATTGGCTAAAAGCACTCGTTTAATTCACCATAACCAGTTAGTGATGAACATATTTGGAAGAATTTTGTGTTTAACGAGGAAATGACGTCAAAAATGCAGCGTTTTCGCAGGTTAAGGCACCGTTAACCGAGAGGACCTGGGGACGAGGTTGAGTTGTTTTGATTGTGAACTTTAAAAATGGCGGACATTTCACTCGTTTCAAGAGTAAGAACTAGGCAAAAACATAGCTAAAAACATGGCAAGAACAGCAAGACAACTCGAAGGGCGACATCTGCTATTTGGAGAATATTTGCGGAGTTGGACAAACCTAATCGTGCACTATCGATCGAAGATGAACTTAACATCGATGGATCGATGGAGGTTAGCACGTTTCTATAATCATCTTTCAATAAACCTAGATGAAGTCAGTCGTTGAGGGACTGAACGAACGGAAAGTTCCGTGGACGCCGTCATAGCTGTAAGGAGACGAAACAGAAATCCCTTTCGTCAGAATAATGCCTAAATTTCATGCCGTTTAGACCAGTCTTTGATAGGACAGTCGTTGGTTTGAGGATTTCTGCGAACACCAAGAAATGTTATGAAGCTCTCCTGATTGAAAGTATTCTGAATCTTGTTGTGGTCTTGGATCAATTGAAGTTTCTGGGCAATTGACCACCTACCCCTTCCCTAAGTCACAATTTTGTCCTAACTGAGAAGTAAGCGTTAATGTTGACTTAGAGGATGGACGGAAACTTTAAAATTCCGTTTTTTTCACTGCAGTAAAGGGAAAATGAAATGAGTCATTTTGCTCAAGGCGCGGTCGGAAAATGGTGCACATCGTTGGTGACATTACTGGCGAAATTTATAAACAAGGAAAATGAGGTATTCCTGCGAAGAGGTTACCATTGAGCAAAGAAAAAGTCTTTTTGGCAAATTTCTTACACGAGTCAAAGCTAGAAATCCATGCAAATAATAGAAAACGTTTTTTTCTGTCGTAATTTGTAATGATTGTCGAAACTTGTAATAGCTTTTTTTTTAATTTGTAATAATTTTGTCGTCATTTGTAATATCTGTCGCAATTTCTAATATATAACAAAAGCTGTCGTAATTTGAAACAACACTTCGTCGTAATTTGTAACAAGTTTGTCGTGATTTGTAATAATAAGGTCGGTTACCTGTAAAGAGTTACAAATTTTGGTGGAAGTTTACAAAATCAGTCATTCGGACAACCTTTCAAGTTCTTAAGTATGCCCTGATGTGATAGAAAACAATA